TCGTATCGAACTACTATTTACAATATAATTGAAAAAAAGAGATTCTATCATCTATATATCGAAATCAAGATCATAAGATTTTTTTTTTATATTCTCGTTTCAGATATAAATAGTGAGAAACAATAATCAATACCCATAGTCATCATTAGTATCATTCGCATTTTGTTTTCTGTGATGTATTCCGTAGTAATAATAATCTATTTTCGTGTTGTTGTCGTTGTTCCTGTTAGCAATCATCATCATTGAATATAACACTGAATTCATGAAAAACAAATACGATGATCATATTGAGAGAGAGAGAGAGAAAAAGGAAATTAAAAAAAACGATAAAAAACAACAACGACAACAAAAACGAAGATGAAAAATTAAGTCTCTTGAGTACAATCAACTACCCATCAAACGACAATCGACATTGTGGCCATAGAAGTCGAACGAATGAGAAAAGATGGAAAAAAACAAACAAATTACATTCTACATTCCAACTTCAAGGATAACTATTCAACTAACAAAAATAGATAGAGAGAATGAATCTAAAAATGTAAGAATGTAATTGATAGGAACTACTGTGTTTGTTTGTTTATATTTTTTATCATTATCATTCTCATCATTGAAAATCGAATCAAATTTATACTTTGAAGAACATTTGATTTCTTTTTTTAGAAAAAAAAATTGGAAATTCTAGTAGAAAATTATTGATTTAATGCGTGGCAACAACAATTTTTTTTCCAAATATCATAAATTGTTGATTTCAATTTAATAAATTGGCAATTTCATGTTGCTCATTCTTCACTAAAATGTTATGATCCTAATAATAATTTTTTTTCACCAAAAAAAATTCTGATCAAAATCATAATGATAATGATGATGAAGATGGAAACCAAATCTAGTCTGATCAAGATAAAAAATCGAATGAAATGAAAAAAAAATTTCAATTGAACTGTAAACAAAACAAAATTACATGATGGACAAATTGCCCTAGAGATATTAGTGATGTTTTTAATAAATGCAATGTGCCATATAAATACATTAAAAAGAACGAAAAAAAAAACAAACAAACAAACAAACAGAATCAAATCGAAAATAGTTCCTGATATGAACTTATAGACATGAAAAAAAATCATGTTCATATAATTAGATAAATTTAACCACAAAGGACATTATCTTGTCCTTCAATGTCTCAAATCACTATATCATGATAATCGAATGTCAGAATTTTTTTTTTGGTGTGAGCAGACAAGAAAAAATTGAATATGTATCCTTTTTTTGTGCATAAAATTCTTTTCTTTTGAATCATAAATAAGATTCTTTCGTTTTTAACTAGAAAAACAGAAAGATCTTGAATATGTGTGTGTGTTTTTGAATAGCATAGGATTTTTTTTTAAAAAATTTTTCCCACGGTTACATTATTCCTATCACAATTTGGCACCAAAAGAAAATAAACAAAAAAAACAAATGTAAAAATTCGCATGTATGAAACAAATACGGAGAAAAATGATATGAACAAATCCTAATGAGACAAAAAGAAAGAGAAAAACTAAATTCTTATGAAATTCACTCACTGGCATAGATCAATGATGATGTTTATCAATCCATAATGATTTTAAACCAAGGTAGTACTACTGTAATAAGAAAAATTCGTCAAAAATTCATTATATAAAGATATCAAAATCAGAACGACATTCAACCGGAAAAATTTAATTTATCAACCAAATTAACCGGATGAATGGATCATGAACACAAGAAAAAAAAATGAAATAAAATTATAGAATTCAAAAAAAAACCGAACAAGTTCAAAGGTATAAAATGAACAATATATTAGTTTTATATTTCACAAAAAATGACGATTATTATTATTATTATTTCCGCCGTAAAAAAAACAAAAAAAAATTCTGTACTACAAAGAATAGAAAGAAAAAAAAAACAGCCATTAAGTGCAATATGAGAACAAACGATACCAATGTGTTGGAGAAGGAATGTAACGAATTCGAATACATGATACAACAACAACAACAACAATACACACACAAGAATCCAGTGAACGAGGCCGATCGACACCATAAATTTTAGACAGTCATTATTATAGTGATGTATAGAAAAGAAAATGAAACCTTCAAACAAGAAATATCAATTTTTCTTGGGTTTTTTTCTCTCTTTTTTTTAATAATAATAACTAGTTAGTCGTTTTCTTTTTTTTTCGTTTATTATTATTAGTATAATGTTCTTGTTTAGAATAAGAAAAAGGAAAAAAAACTACTGAAAAAACATGTGAAAATAAGAATAACCAAGCAAGTTGAACCAACAACCAAGAAAAAAAAAAAAAATAATGAATGAACGAATGAACAGATTGTTATAATGATGATGATGATGATGATGATTATTTATTCTACGTTATATATGGAAATAAAAAGATGAAATGCAAACTAAAAAAAAAAATGCCAGAATGAGATATGATGAAATTTATAAGAGACACAAAGAGTGTGTTAAGCCAGATGAGATGTTCCAGAAATTTCATCAAAAAAAAAAAAATTACCTTACAGCTCTGTATATATATATGCCGGCTAATATGTTTGGATGCTGTTTTTTTTCATTGTTGTTGTTGTTGTTATGATTATAGAAGCCTGATAATCATTATACTAATGAAATTTCATTAGACATATGAAAAACAGAAGCAAACAATGAGAAAGAAAGAAATCAAATAATAAAGAAATAAATGAAAAATGCATAAAGTGAATAAGAAAACAAGGCAGAAAAAAAATGAATATAATATGTAACGACGATAACGATAAATTAATAAACAATGAAGCCAAAAATGTCACATGTGTTATCATTATTATCATTATTTTTATTCATTTTTTTCGTGATGAAAACAATATATTTATATCTAGGCGGGCAAACAAATAATTTGATAAAAAATTCTGTGTGTGTGTGTGTTCGTAAGCATTATATTTCTTTTATCTACAATAAACAGTTAAAATTATTATTATAACAATCAGATGATCAACAAATAAATTTTAAAGGCTAGTTTTTTTCCAGTACATTTTCTTCTGGTTTATTTCTTGACATTTAAAGATAGAATTTAAAGTTGAAAACAAAATCATAAATGATAACATTATTTGATTAGACAATGTATGGAAACTGTATCAATAACCAAGATGTGTGCATGGAAACTTTGTGTGTGTGTGTGTGTTTATAATGATCGCTCAACCAAACCATCCAAGAATCCAAAGTAAGACATCATTCATTCACATTTTATTTTACTACAAAAAAAATCGAAATTGTCGATAATAATTGTCGAATATATAACAATTATTTGTGTTTTTGATATTGAAAAGAAACAAGACAAAGAAAGAGAAAAAAAAACAAATCAAACTCATAAAACAGCTAAACAATCAATTTCTGTCAGATAAAAATGTATTATTTACTTGAATTGGTAGAATCAGAAAAAAATGACATGATGATGATCATGATGATGGGCGATAAAAAAAAACCAATTGAAGAGAATTCAAATCTCGTTACCATTAGATACAATGTAATAGAATAATAATAATAATAAATATATATCCATAGAAGTTCATAGTGTGTTTTATTTGTGCATGTGTAACAATATCCTTATGTCAATTAAAATAGCAAAATTTCAAAAAATGGCTAAAAATAACCACTCTATTTTTTTTCTTATTAACTGATTGACCAATATAGAAGGAATCAAATTTCAAATTCAATGTGTTTTTCAATTATAATGATAATTGTGATCGAAGTACAGTGTGTTCAAACCAGTGATCAGAACGGAAAAAAAGTTTTCGTTTCAATTCAATTCAATTGAATTTAACTCCCATAAAAAAAACAATCTTTTTTTCTAATCTTTTTATTTTAAAGTTTCTATGAAAAAAAAGGTCAATTGTGATTGTTTTGTGTATTGTTGTATCCAATCAATAACAAAACTTTAATCCAAAGCTTTAAAGTATTTGATATTTGTCAATAAATGAATTTTTATCCAGAAAAAAAATTGGAATTTATCTGTGTGATGTGTATGGGAAAAAAAAAAAAAATTGGGATGGGTAAACTCTTCAAAAAGCTTACATTCAATTTTTCGAAATAATGATTAATTGCTGAAAGTGTTTTTTTTTTCTGGATAGAAAATGGCAATTGGTAATTAATAATAATCGATTAACGTCTTTTTACTTCATGATGTGTATAGAGAATGGGAGAAATAGAGATAGAGAGTTCATTACATTCAATGCCCATCGTTATATCGACTGTTTAATAATAATAATAATAATATCGGCGATAAGATCGATTTCGATCGAAAACTAATTTCCGAAAATTTTTGAATCGATCACCAAAAACGAACGAAACGAAGCAAGAAAGAAAGAAAAGCGATCCGATTATTATATCGAACATAACATTTCATATATTATAATAGGCATATTAATAGCCCCCCGACCTTTTGGCACTTCTATCGTTTTTGGTCGAATTATTCATCGATATATGTTTATCGTTCTATGTAAATGATGTGATCATCAATTCATCGATCATTTACATTTTTCTTTATTTCTATTCTTTTTTTTACCGGTTCGAATGGAATTTTGTTATTTATAGTCATCATCATCATCATCATTGTTGTTGTTGTTGTTGTTGTTGTTTATGAATATATAACAAGCAAAGAATAAAAATATAACTAGAATCTATAGAACCGGAAATCTATTGTTGTTTTCATGGAATGGACTACATGTATTCGACGTGATTATAATAACAATGATGATGATGATGACATTACAAAGCAGAATTTTTTTTCAATGAAAATATTGAAAACAATGTACAGACAAGATGAAAATGACAGGAAAATGAAATTTATTGTTTTAAATTTTGCCTAGGTATATTTTACCATTGTTCAAAAGAAAAAAAAATATTGTAAAAAATTTTGCATACATGCGTGTGTTTCGATTGTAGTTGATAGAAATAATACAAAAAAATGACTGACGCATATACGACAATACACTTACCAATTATGAGTGGATCCTAAGCTTGGTATTCGCATGATGATATCGATAATGTTAATGATCGCAATTCTTCTAGAATTTTTTTTTGTTTTGATTCAAAAGCTTGATAAGGAATTTATTTGTCATATAAACAAACACACGTACACATACACATAATTCCTGAGAATAACTTTATAGGAAATTTTCATCAATATTTTGCTATTGGCAAATAATCATATCGTCAACATCATCATATTATTCATGTGGATTGAATGTAAATCTGGAGAAAAACGAACACCGGATCGGACAAAAGATATATAAACGTTTTTAGAGATTGTACTTGAATCGTCAATTGCACGAACGTAAATGATCGTAGAAAAAACGATGAACAAGACAAGACGATAGATCTCAAAAATTGAAAGAATCGAATGTAGCCTGCCTAAGAATACTGCGCATATATATGAACTACAAACATTCATTCATTCAAATTGAAGGTAATCATGTGATTATTCTTGCACATGCGTCTGTTGATTGATAACCGATAAATTTATGGAGAAAAAAAATGAATAAAATAAAATTTGCCGCCAAATCCAAGCCATACAAAAATCCAAATATCATTTTTAGAATGGATCATTTTAACTGATTATTATAATGATGCTAAAATGATTTAAAAAACCATTATAAAAATACAACAGTGATCCAACTAAAAATTTGTATACAAGAAAAAAAAACCAGACAATCAAAAACCGGACAACTTGGACACCAGATTTATTATTTCTCAATAAGCTCAAGTAGGTTACGCATTAACTTTCATAACCAAACATTACAATAATGATGATGATGATGGTGATTCTTGGTCATATTATTTAATATCATATTAAATTTGCTTGCATAACAACATGGTAAAAAGTTTGGTGAACAAAAAAAAAAAAAAAACAAAAACAAAAAAAAAATCTGCCACAGCCAAAACATTAATTTACAACAAACAACAACATTATTATGGTCGTTGGTTAATCACGGTAATCACACCCCTTTTCAGTACTTTCGTCCCCTTTTTTTCCAATCAACAAAAAGTACGATAAGTTTTGTGTTGAGAACTGAAAACGAATAAATACTCACGCAACATACACATACACACCAATTGTCACAAATCCAGATGAAATAAAACAGATTTTTTGCAAACAAAAAAAAAGATTATTCTGTAGGGTGGTGAAAAAATATATATTCTAAAATGTGTGTGTGTGTGTGTGTATGAGAATTCATTAGTATATGAAGAATTGTGAAAAGTGATTTTCATCTTAGCTATAATACTGCCATCTATGGGTGTCGATTCAAGATATAGAAAATTTTATTCATTCTGTTTTAATGAGAATTATTATTATATGAATTCCGGTTGATTTGAATATTGATCCATTATTGGCTGCCTGTGGCTTCCATTGTCGGGTGGAGATTCCAAATTTGACCCATTATTATTTGACGTCGTTGAGCTTTGTTGTTGTTGTTGTTGTTGATTAAATTTGGCCACTAATCTTTTCAATGATGATTTGATTGTTTTCGGTATGATTCGTGTGGCATAAAAAATCAAACCAAATGGTCGATGATGATGATGATGATGATGATGATTATCGTGTTGTTTAACAATCATTGGTTCCATCCGTATCAGACTATAATCAGCTTGAGTTAATGTCATCGTTGTCATTTGTTTTTCAACAAAATTTACAAAATGAAATTTTGGTTTCGAATTGACATGGTTGATGACGTTGCCGTTAACGACATTATTATTATTATGATTATTACTATGGTTATTATTTCTTTTCATGTAATCGTCGTTGTCGTTGTTGTTGTCGTCGTCGTTGTCGTCGTTTTTTTCGACTTTTTTCATCATCATTATCATTACTATTGTGGTTGAATGAAGTCCAATTTGCATAGATTAACAATGAAAATAATAGGAAATATATACACAATACAGCCTTTACGTCAAAAACGAAACCAGAATAATTCAAGTCCAGAATATATACAGGATAAGCATAAAGTTATTTTTTCGGTCCAGAATCATAAGCAGTGAAGCATGAAAAGAGAGAGAGAGAGAGAGAATTTGTTCGATTTGAAAAAAATGTTTATTAATTTTCTATTCACATTCATAATTTTTTTTTTGGTTCTGTACATACCATTATATAGATGATTGAATCAGAATATTCTGTAGAATAAAATATATGATAAACCGGTGCAGATATTCGTTGATGATCAATATTTGTATTGTTGATATGTTTGATTGATGTTGATGATAATGTCGATGTTATTGATGATGACCATGAATCATTATTTTGAGATAATAATAATGACGATGATGACATGTTATTCATAATGGGAGACGGCGATGATGATAATGGTGAACGATTAATGGCTATTGTATCGATCCAATCATATTTGATTGAATCACCACGATTAATTGAACTACATAGAATGAGTTTGTTACCTTGAAATATGAAAAATAAATGAAAAAATTTGATTAAAAATTTCATTGAAATGAAAATTGGAAAAAAAATTTTATTTTTACTGTTGAATTTTTTCCAGTGAATTCTGATATCGAGCAAATTTTTCTACAGAAAATTTTCATTCTTTTATCTCTATGTGTTTATGTATGTTCAGAAAAAATCTTTTGATCTTTTGGTTTATTTATTTTTTAAATAAAACGCTATTTTTATATTTATCCACAATAACAAAGTGAAGGAACAACAAATTTATGAAGAAAAAAAAACACAAACAAAGGTGAAAGGTATCCATAGATTCAGGCCATTTTCTATGGAATATTTTTCCATCACATTACAAAAAAAAAATATAAAGAAAAATATCCATTGATGCAATATCATCAACCATTGAATTCATTCAATAATTTGCATCATCAAAGCAATAGAATGAGAGTGTGAAAAGGAGATTTTCTCATCAAACAAAAAAAAATTTTTTTTTCTTTTACTCTCCAGAGATTCTATACAGGAACAAAAAAAATGGAAAAAAATTCAAATTCAAAAAAAAACAACACACCAGCACATACAAACGAGGAATGTTTTCATGTGGCCTACACACAAATAATTGATGTTCGTAATATATGAAAAGAATGGAGGGATTTTTTTTTTTGTTTTTTTTTTTTACAAAACACAGAAATGGTATGGAAAAAAAATTTATTCGTCTATTACACAAGTATTGGAGAAAAAATATGGCGCCAACAGCAAATATTTATTCGAATGAACAATAACAACAACAACAACAACAAAAAAAAAAAAAAATTCTAGAAAAATTGGCTTGAACAAAAACAATATGGCGCCATTTTTTTTCTTAAAAAAAACAAACAAAATTCTCACTTATGCATGATGAAATATAAAGTGGCAAGAATATTCTTGTTACGCTGTATTGTACTAATCATCATTATGATATGTTTGGCTAATGTGGACTAAAGTGTCATATTATGAAAAATTTACCAACACCAACAAATTAAAATGACTTTTTTTCGCTTTTTAGAACCGAAATCGGTAGATGAAAATCTGTAGTATTTATTTATGAGCTAATGGCCAGTTGATTGTATTACTACCACTTGTATTGGTAATGAAAAATGATTATTAGAATCGACATAATCGATAATAATAATGATAATAATAAGCTGGCCGATTCAGAAATCATTATCGATTAATGTTTTTATTGTTTACATTAGATATATGTAGATAAATTATCTTGCAAACAATTTTTTGACCTAACACTAAATATATATATATATATATTGATTTTATTATCAAAGATTATATTATTAAATATAGAAAGTTGGAAGAATATAATAAAAACAAATCATTCATTCAGATATATTCTGTGGTGTGGGCGTTAGAATAGTTTTATTATTATCAAATATTTCCGTTTTACGTAACGATCATCAACATAATACGCATGTACGTGTACATACACACACACACAGATAATAAAAATCGATATCGTTAGAAAAAAAATATGTTAAAATCAATAAAACAACTGAATATTATGTGCGTGTGTGTGAAATGAACTGTATATGACTGGAGCAAACTAACAAATAATAATAAAAGTAATAATAAGAAAAACACATGGAAAGAATATTTTAAAGAAATTAATGTTCGTTTGTTTGGTATTGTTATCCATGTGTGTATGATGACACTTTGGAATATATACAAAAAAAAGGTATGCACTCAATGTTTTTTTTTGTGTTTGGAGGTGGTGGTGGTGGTGGTTTTGTTGGTGACAGTAAAATGGAATATTACAAATAGGCAGGCAAATAGTAATGAGAATTTTTTTTTATTCAGGATTAGTTGGTACATACATAAAATGTCTATTTCACATTCTCTCTATTTTTTTTTCTTGCTGTCTATAATATCCTGTTTCAAATCGATATTCCATCAAAAGAATAAATAAATTCTTTTATGTTTGGCTATGTGTGAATAAATGCGGGTGTCCAGAGAGAGAGAGAGAGAGAGAGAGAGAGAGAGAGAGAGAGAGAGAGAAAGAGAGGAATAACAACAACAACAGAAAATGATGATGAGAAAAATTCACAAAAAAAACAATAACAATTCTGGCCAAATAATAATGTGTATTTGTGCGTGTGGGCGTTATTTATTTTTTTTGTTGAATGAATCGAATATGTGTGTGTGTGTGTGTGTGTGTGATTCATGGAAACATTCCCAATTTTTTTTCCATATTCCGTGTATAAAAGATTGGATTGTATTTAGATGGAAAAATGAAAGAAATTGAAATAGTTTGCTAGTGAATTAACTGAGGCACGTTTTTTCTTTGTTCTTTTCTTAAATACCATTAATTTCAAATGATAATGTATCGATCAGAATTTCCACAATTTTTGGGAAAAAAAATCGAAATGCGATTCGATTACAAAAAGTCTCATTATCATCATCATCATCATCATCATCATGATCGTTTGCTGTCAATTTTAATTCATTTCATTTTTAATTATAAGTCCATTTACATCATTTGAATTTAATGAAATCAGTCAATTTTATTTAAATTCTAATTCATTTATATGTTTTTTCAATAATCATTGTAAATGTGTGAGCAAGAGTGTTTTGTCAGTTAGTTAGTTTAGTTAACACGATTGGATTTGTGTAATTTGATCTGTTACAGACCGTTTTAACAATCGATCAACATTCATTAATATGATCAGCTTTGTGAGGATAATGGATCTAATATACAAAAGTCCAAACATAGTAACTAGACACATTAGATGATGTATGTAATAAATTCGGTAATGAACAATTCTAATCCAGAATTCAATACACACACACACACACACACAAGGACTGCCTAGAGTGCTAAAAAAAAGTATTAGATAACAAGACACAAATACAGAATACAATGAATGAAGAATAAAACCAATCAATTTTGTCTCGAATGTCTAGAGCTGTAATCATTGTGATACCGTTTTTCTTTTTGGTCGTCTGACTTCAACAGTCGACCAAAAAAAAAAATCATTTAAAAAAGTAGAATAAGAAGCAAATCTAACTTGATCATATAGAAGCAATAGTAATCACAATGATGATGATGATGATGATCATATCATCTTTCTTATTTTTTTGCCAAGATCAATATCTCAATCTCTGGTTTCTATAGATTTCTGTTTTTTCTTTTCATTCGAATCTTCAATCTTCAATATAATCATATATCATTAGTTTGAAAACTTTCTTGCCACTATCATTTGAAGTATGATTAATAACACAACAACAGAAAAAAATTGAATTTATCCGAATTAGATCGATTGATGATCACAATTTTTTTTCTTTGTCGATCAAATTAGTAATTAGTTCAATTGTAAATGAATTGATTTATGTGTATATATGGTAATAATGTAGTTAAGGTAAATATTTATTTATGTATAAATCAGTTAGTACACAGTAAAATGTAATGCTCGTTACTTATATTTTCAAAGTTTTCCCCAAAAAAACGGTGAGTTTTTCCGAATGCAGAAAACAAACATCAACAACAACAACCAAAAAAAAAAAATTCCATTTCATCATCCAATCACCGATAAAAAATTGATTTTTTTTGTCAACAAAAAAAAAAAAAGAAAATGAAATTAAAAAATAAAATTCGAATTGATCAGAAATTTGTTCTTCACTCTTGTTACGATTGCTGCAAGCAAAATCAAAGATTGGCTATAATAAAAAAAAGGAAATGAAATTGAAAAAAAACAACAACAACAACAAACCAAACACAATAGCGGAAGAGTGAGAGAGAGAGAGAGATAAATAAATTTTCACTTTTCTAATGGACAAATTTTTTTTTTTTTATGAAAAAATTTTTAATGGTCACGAAAAAAAAAAATGAAATGAAATGAAATTTTTGAAAAACCATTAAATTTACAATTATATTCCATGATTTATGGCACAACATCAATTGTAAATACTGTACTGTCTTGAGGGATAAAAATTTGAATATGGCAACACATTTTACAATCGTTCAATTCATTTCATTTTATTTTCACTTCAATATAAAATCGAAATGAATTTCTAAGCAGCAGTTACGTGGAACAAAAAGTTTTTACAATTTTTAATACCAGCACACACACACACACACAGGCAAAAACCAGTTATGAGAAAAAAAAGAGAATAAAATATTCGAATTGGCATAATTTTTTTTCTGGTGAAAATATTTTGAATGAAAAAAAAATCCCTCTATCCCTCCATCCATAAACATAAATGGGCAAAACATTTTTGTGAATCACTAATTAATCGTTGGTGGAAATGACCATAATGATGAAAAATAGAGGAATCAAATATTTGCTATAGTACATTTTTCCATATGTGAATTTTCAATTTTTTTGATTTCACTTGACATTCATGAATAAAAGTAAAAATTCATAAACTATAGAAAAAAAACAAAATCATTGCAAATATGTCAGCAGAAATGTGTCTCTCATATCATCGGATGACAGGCTCCCCTCCCCAAAAATGTTGACATAAAACGAAAATTTCGTTTTTGAGAGTCAATCAAATATATTTGGAGATTCACTAAAAAAAAAAAAAAAATGTCACGCTTGTCAATACATTTGAATTCGGAATAATAATTGGCCTTGTATTGGGTAAAAATTCAATTCAATTCAAATCCAATCCAATTCAATTCAAGATTAAAAAAAAACAAACCAAACACTCCAAAAAACATGTTGCGAAACAAAAATCACACAACAACAGCAGCAGTTGCATATTTGTCAAAAAAAATTATGCAAACATGAAAAAATTTAAATGATTAAATGAGAAAAAAAATGAATGAAAAATTCTTCAAACAAATCCACCAGTGATTACGAAATGAATGAATGAATGAATGAAATTGAAAAATGCAATACAGATAAGCCAATATTTCTGCTATACACTGCCAGTGTATTTGTCACACAATCTAGGTACTTCTAGAATCTAGATATTCATCATTCATTTTTATATATATTTTAAGTAAAAATAAATCCTACGTATATTCTTTGAAATTGATTTTTCTTTTCTCCACTTGCTTTTAGAACAAAAAGATGGTATAATCAATTTTTTTTCTCTATTCACGATTCCGTTTTTTCAAGATTTTCTTTTCTTATTCCTTCTATAAATTATCATCATATATATATATAAAATAGAATTTGATGAATAATAAATAAGTAAGCACTAGAATCGTAATCATAACAATTACTAGGCAACAAATTCAAATGAATTTGTAGTCGTCATTGTTGTTGTTATTATTCTTATTGAATAACTGTGAAAAAAAAATGATGTAAGTAGTTGAGTGAGAGAAAAAAAAAAAAAAAAAATTCACACTATTTTCATTTGTCTTGTGTAAATAATAAAAATGCTAAAAAAAAAATTTCCATTTACTTATGATAAGATGTATGTAGTCAGTAGTGATATACAATATATTTTGGATGCACTGTTTTCTACAAATTTCTTGTCATTTATGACAATTTTATTTTTTTCTCACATTCACTTTTATTTGTTGTTTTCATTTGTTGTTTCGTCATAAGATTCACCATGGTAGCATAGTTTCGGTGGTATTGGTTCAAATTTAACACAAATACACACAAAAATAACATGAACAATAACTAAAACGCGACAAGAATTATAAATCTTGTAAACATGAAAAAAAATGTCTAACTTGATTCACAACTAATAATAATTATTATTATTATTATTTATCTAACTTTCATTCAGCAAATTCAAAGTGCAAGCATGTTGTCCGGAATTTAATGACATATCCGGTAGTACAGCGCATTGATATTGAAATCAATATGGTTAGTTTGGATGAAAAAAAAACCAAATATAATCGAATAACAACAGTTCAGAAAAAAAAGTTGTAAATTAGTCTAGTATTTCTGGATTCTGGAAAGAATTTTTTTTTTCGTTTGTTTGTTGTTGTGGAAAAATTTTATTTTTTTTGTGCATCAAAAAAAAGTCTCACATTTTTTTTTGGAGCTCCACCAACACGAAATTCAAAATTAAAGAAAAAAAAACAATATATTATTCCAGTGTGTGAAATATGAGGCACGAAAAAATTGCAATTCATAGAATTTGAAGCAAAAAAAATAAAAAAAAAATAGTATGGAGCTAAGCTTGTAAGGCATTTTCACATCAAATGTGAATTACTGGACTGTATTAGAAAATTCCGTTGTGTGTGTGTGTGAATGAATTCTATGGATTTTTGTGGAAAAATTCTGTTGTTGTTTATATCGTCATTTTTTTTGCTTTTCAATAACAAAAAAAAATGGTGTCTTTTTCTCTTGAATCTTCAATAAATTCTCATCACTATCATATTTGATAATAATTATAATTATTCTGATGATGATGATGATGATAGAAATCGAGAATAAGTGAATCGAAAACAAAACAAAAAAAATGTCAAATCGCTGCATAGCTAATGTTGTTTGAATGACATTTATAATTGATATAATAAAAATGGATAAAAATTCATTCAACTATAAATTTGATTGACAAGCCTGTGTGTTTCACAAAGAAAAACGAAATTTTTTCTTAGTCATTTTTTTTCTCGACACATAATCATGGTATGTTGTTCGAATAGGGAATAATACATTCCAAAAAAAAAAAATTCTTGATCGCTTGTTGTTGCTGTTGTTGTTGATTTTTGGATTCTTTTTTTTTTTGTTTTTATCATTTGATGACTGATTAGATTGGTTGAATAGAAAACAAGGAAAATGAACGAAAAAATTTTTTTTTGTTTCCTTTTCTTAACCGATAACAATAATATTTGTGATAAATCAACAAACAATACAATTTATCATTTTCTTTTCTTTTTTTTTATTTACAATGCCATTCCTGTTCCATCATCGGATTGGAATGTTTTTTTTTTTGGCTGTTTTTGATGGAATTCTTCAATCTTTTTGCTGCATTCATACACACACACACACATACATAAATGGTTGAATGGTGATGATGATGACATTACAGATGAATGATTTTTTCAATTCAATTTATTTTTGCTTGATTATTATTTATTGAATTCTTTGGACTTTGATCCGAATCTGTTGGGGCGTGTGTGTGTGTGTGTTTACTTGAACGCAACGGTTTTTTTTATCGGATGTAAAAAACCTCCGTGATCACAAATTCTAAACAATACCACAGATCTCACTCAAAATTTTTCAAGGGTCACCGAATATAATGTCTTGCAATTCAAACAAACTTAATAAGGTAATATCAGGATATTTTTGAAAAACCCAAATTATAATTGCCTGTAATGATCTGTATGATTATGGTTGTTTGTGTGTGTGTGTATATAACAATAATGATGATAAGCAGAAAAAAAAGTTGCCATTTCAGCAACAACAAAAATTAAAAACCGGATCTTCAAGTATAGACCAGGCCACATTGTTTTTATTATCTATTTATAATCACATAAACACAGACAGACAAAATTCAAGAAAAACTTCTTATGTAAAACTTATTTCACAATTAAATGAATTTTCATGGCAAGAATCGAGAATGGCTGAATGGATTATAACGCCAGCCATGTTTTGTTTGATAGTAAGAGCAAGAATCAAGTAGAAATAGAAGAAATTATAAACTTAAATAATAATCACAAGTGTTTTTTTTTCTTTGAAAATAAGTTATTAACTTTAAATGTGAAAAGTGATTATATTGCATATACAAAGTTGCAAAATATAAATTTTATGGCTAGTGCTAAATTAAATAAATTGATCCAGAAATGAATGCTATCAGAGATGAAATTTCTCTGAATGAGCTAATTCAATGAGCGCAAGAGAGTTTGAAACAGATTTTTTTATTTTCTTCGTTTACTTTTCTCATTTGTGGGTGTGTGAGTGATGAACGAGACGTTGTACAAACATTTTTTTTCATCTCAACATTTTCAATTCATCTTTCTTTTCGTTTGGGAGAAAAAAAATTTAAATTGACAATGATCGATTGATCGAAAATTTTTTGTGGATTTTTTTTTTTTCTGGGCGATCAGTTTTGGATCACATGAATATCAAACCCACGTACAAATGAAATATGTTAAAAGTTGAAGAAATTTAAAACATTTGTTTCTGGTCTTCAGACAATTTACCTTGAATCTTAAAATGAATATAGATTGATCTACATAAAGAAAAGTAGTAGTAATAACATAACATAAATTAAATTTGCTTAGAATTTACTTTAGATTCTGTAAATTTTCATTTTCATAACTCATAATCACACACGTTTATATACAATAATAAATGCAATTAAATTTTGATGATAAAAGCAAAATGAAGAAAAATGAAATGAAATAAAACTTACCATTAAGTTTAGCCAAACGTGAACGATTATTACAGCCAATTTGTCGTACAATTAACTTGTTTAATGATAATGTCTCTTGTGGATCGAGCAACATATTTGCCTTTAAATGTTGACTGATGTTATTGCCAATGTTAGCAAACAACAAACAACGGAAACGGAACTTGCTTTTGAATAAAAGAAAAGGAAAAAAACATTAGTAATTGAATTTAATAGAATTCAATATAATTGAGAAGAAAAATGTGATCAATAGTAATAACAGAATATATCGAAATCATTGGCTAATCAAATTCGCAATCGCAATATCTATTGTCCTATCTATCTCTTTCTTTCTCACTCGTAACAATAATGACACAATGTTTGGTTATTATAATTGATTCCATTGAAATCGATTAGATATTGAATTTTTGATCATTGTCGAATAACCGAAACGGACCAATGAATCTGATAATAATGGTGGCAATTATTATGAACTCACTGTTTTGTATATAATTCTTCAAGTTTTTATATTATTATTATTATTATTATAGTTATATTTGGCTGGTTAATTGGTTTTTGCTTGATGTGAATACGAATAAATGATGAAATTTCTATTGTTGATCGTTCGATTGTGAAAAGGGAACAAAAAACTTGTCGTCGTCGACAGTGTGCGTGTATGCTGCAATCAAATAATGAAATGACCACCGATTCGAAAATCGGTGAGAAAAATCTATGGTTGTGCATAAAAATTTTTGCTGGTAGCTCGGATTCGTTGGTATATTTGGCTAGGTTTGCTATGAGATTCGATTCTGTCGAATATACAGCAGCATACACGTATATATAAAATATAAAGCAGATTGACAGACGAAAACTTTTCATTTATATAGATAGTACCCCAATGCACAAAACCGAAGAATGTACGAACCATGTACAAAAACTACAGTAACCAGTGTTGTTGGACTAAAAATGTCAGAATCGATATTTTATGTGTATATGCGTAAGTGCGGGAAATAGTGGATTATAAAAGTTTGTTATTCGAGTGTATTAAAAATGAGATAAAATTTTTTTTGTTTAGAATCGATTGTTGAAATTACCGAAGAAAAATAGAATAATTGGCACCGTTGATTTTAGTGGAAAAAAACCCAAATGAAACAATTTCACCAAAGCTAAAAAAATAACACCATTTTGGTGATCGAATTGAATGTGACAGTTTTGAGAAAAATCTACAAAAATCATAAGATCCAATTTGTGTGTGTGTGTTTATCATTATTATATACTGCTGCATAATGATAAACAAAATGAAAATTCTGTAAATGCTCAAAGTGACAAACTAAAAATAGGACTATAGTAGGAGGAGTAATAGATGAACAAATTCTCTGAAACACTGAATTGATAGTGAAATAGAAACTTGACTTTAAGTTTCAAATTTTCGTTCCCATCATCATCATCTCCAAATTTCCTATTCAGTTGCCATCATTTGTTTGTCACATTTTTTTTATAGCATCACATCATCGTCGTAGTCGTCATTGACGAATGAATTATAGTTTAACCACAGAATTTGTAGTGGCGTCTACTTTTCGATATTGAGTCAATGTGTGATGTTCAAATATCGATTTGATCCAATTTGCAAGTGTCCCAATTTTTAGTTACTTTAATAATAATATATATATCAAAGTAATGGTAGTACACGTCAACATATGAAAATTACTAACTAAACTCCAAAAAAAAACATTTATCAATGCAATCAAAACCAAATTAATTAATTAATTATATACATATAGAATTGAAAATTTCATTTTTTTTATTGATGGTAGCCAAAAAAAAAATTTATTCTTTTATATAAAAATACATCCATTCATTTTAGGCAGTTCGTTTCTGTGCCAAACGTTTGTCACGTTCTTCGGCAACGGTCAAACGAATACCACGGCCACGCGGCAATGAAATGAATGGCATATTACTTTTACCGATGACAAAAATATAAGCCGAACGTGTAGCAAATGTATGACCTAATGCATCCTTTACGTGGATAATATCAAAACTACCCACATGTCGTTCCCGTGAGGTGATAATACCGACACGACCCAAGTTATGGCCACCAGTAACCATACAAAGATTGCCAGTTTGAAATTTGATTGAATCAACAATTTTTCCCGTATCCATCTCATAACGAATCGTATCATTTACTTTGATCAATGGATCTGGATAACGAATGGTTCGACCATCATGGGTGACCAAATAAGGAATTCCTTTCGGCCCGGTAGCAACTTTTTTAACTCGACACAATTTGTACTAAAAATTCAAATTGATCAATTTTTGAAAAATTCACAAATTCACAATATGACATACATTAGCTTCTTGTTGGCTGATCTTATGCAAAATGTATCGACCTTTAATGTCGTAAAGAAGACGGAAGAAATCACCAGTTCGTTCGATGGTTACAACATCTATTTGAAAATAAAAAGTTATTAGAGCTCTGGGTATGCTCGCATTTCATAAAAATTAAAGAAAAACAAGCGACCAAATTTCACTCATCAAAAATGATATTGGCCATTAATTGAACTTGAAAATCATTGATAAATTTTATAAAAACATTCAAGTCTTCGATGTATGGCCAAAGAATCCATTGAATGATGGGAAAACTTACCCATAAAGCCAGCCGGATAATTAATGTCGGTACGAACTTTACCATCAACTTTGATAGTACGTTGCATGACAATTTTAGTCACCTCATCACGAGTCAATGCGTATTTAAGTCGATTACGTAACATAACAACCAATGGCAATGATTCACGAAGTTTATGAGGACCAGTCGATGGACGTGGTGCATAAACACCACCAAGTTTATCCAACATCCATGATTTCGGTGCTCGCAAACGTTTCAAATGTTTTTTTGGGCCTCTAGCCTACAATTTAAGGATTAATTATTTTATAAAAATTTATTTAAAAGAAAAAATTACCATAATTAATGAATTTTATTGGAAAAAAATCGATGAAAACTTGGAAAAACCAAAATATGCCAACAAACATACGGCTGAAGCGTGTACTGGAAAGGAAACATGCACGTTGTGCTTTGCTTTGTGCACAAAACAAGAAGAATGTACACTGTTGTGTGAGGCATCCGTTTTTTGACAATGACCCGTCATATAGAACGTAACCTATACAAACAACAATATGCATGCTTTATAAACAATTTTTGTGGTAGTAGTTCAAGCCAATGATACGTCGATTCATAAATGCAATATAACTAATTATTGGATAATTCGAACAAAAATTAAAGTTTTAATGAAAAATATCCTCACATATGATGACGATATATGGATGTCAAATAAATATGAATCTGTGATAATCATTTCGCAAAAAAAAAATTTCATGTACCTGAACATACCCCAAAACCTTGAACAACGAATATGTCCTCAGAAAAATCCATATCATTCGAAAAATCTACAAAGGCGCCAACTTTGTTGACTATTGGATCGCGTAAATCACGTTTGGCAATGATTCAAACGAACATGGTTATTGATGCATTAAAACGCCATTATCCAGAATGTGAATTTGTAGTAAAAAATATCGATACAACTGGTGATAATATTCTTGATCGACCATTAGCCAAAATCGGTGAAAAAGCCTTATTCACTCGTGAGCTTGAAGAAGAATTATTACGGGGGACAATCGATATGATTGTTCATTCACTGAAAGATATGCCAACTACATTGCCAGATCGATGCTGTATTGGTGCAATAATGGCACGTGAAGATCCCAGTGATTCATTAGTACTTCGTAAAGATTTGATTCATATGCTTAAAACGGGACCAAACTTAAATATGGAATATATTATGAATGATTGCTCGAAATGTGTTCAAACATTCGGTACGTCTTCACTTCGAAGAATTGCTCAACTTCGTAATTCATCGCCAAATGTCGTCATAAAGGATGTCCGTGGAAATCTAAACACCCGGTTGGATAAACTAGATAATCATCCTAAACATGGTTATGATTGTCTAGTATTGGCCACTGCAGGTTTAATACGTGGTGGATTCCATGATCGAATAAGCTTAAGATTGACTCACGGTAATTGGTATCATGCTGTATCACAAGGTGCATTAGGTGTTGAATGTCTTTCTGATGATTACCGGATGCAACAAATACTTTTTCCGTTAGTCGACTCGCGTACAGTATTTGAATGTACATCTGAACGGGTACTAATGAAATGCTTGGAAGGTGGTTGTTCCGTACCGATAGGTGTGCAAACAATATGGTCCAATGCTGACAGATGGTTATTGACATTAAAAGCCAAAGTTCTTACTATCGATGGTAAGGAATCGGTCCAAGGTGAACAAACAGAAGATTTAGACAATCAAAATTTTCCAATAAACGAAACATTTGAACTTTCAGACTTTACTGACATACGAATCGAAGGAATTGATAACCAATTTGAATGTCGGTTAAAAAATTCTGTAAGACTTGGACGTTCTGTTGCTAAGCAGCTTATCGATATGGGCGTCAAAAATATTCTTAAACGTTCACAGTAAAAACACCATTTATTTATTCAATGTAATATTTATTAATAAATTAATAATAATTAATTAATTACATTGAAAGATATGAAAACAAATTTATGATGAATCGTAAGAATTTCCAAACCCATTTTTGTTTTGTTCTTTTGTTAGATACAAATACTTGTTGGGTATGTGTGTGTGTATGAAGATCAAACAGACTTAATTAATTAAAATCTACTTCCATTGATGGTAATAATTCATTAATGATTTTGTTACTTTCCATAACCGATTGATATAAATTTTGCAATTCAGGCATAGTTTTGATTGCATTCATCAATTCATTTGCAGTAGCGTCTTTATCTAAGTGAGTGGGATGAAAAAAAATAATGTTAGAAAATACAAATAAGATTCAGAAAAAAATGAAAACACAAACCAGCATCACGAATACGATAAATGGCGACAAATGCCCTTATAGCCGATCGTCGAAGTTCATCTTGTTTTTCAAATTCTTGTTTTACTGCATTCGATTTCAATTTTGCAAAACAAGTTTCTTTCAATAATCCGACAATATTTTCCAATCCTGAATTGTAGAATGAAAAATTATTGTTATTCTAAATAATAAAAAGCCATATTATATAATAATAAACATACGTTGCAAGATGGCCGATGGACATAAATCGGATAACCGTATCAAAATTAAATAGGTCAACATTTTTATGTCATACGTATCCTTTAGACCAAGTTCGACATTGTTAAGATATTCAAAAATTTCCACCTTATCCAAACAAGAATCTAGTAGTGTATACATGCATTCAAATACAGCTTTACGAAGATCCAATCCATCATCGACCGTATGTTTGAATGGGCCCATTTCAACTTCGCGTACATATTCCGGCTTTATGACAAAAAAAAATCGATCAGAGAAAGATTGATCACCAACATTAACATACCTTAGGATGAGTTTCCTGATATAGCATAGGAAATACTTGGCCAAGAAAATCACGTATTAATGATGCTTTGTTATGTAGAATTGAATTCAATGTTATAAATGCTACTCGACGTACATTAATGTCTTTATCATTCAGCGTTTCAATATAGGCACCTATCAGTTGTTTTAGCATGGTGAAATATTCTGCTTGTGGACTACAATCGGCGATAGCAAATCGAATCGATGTTATAATTGTTTCACGTATATTGGTCGAGCCATTACGAAGATTTTCCAATAAAACGGGCAACAGGTTTGCTGGTTTTAAAAGAGTCAATTTACCCAGACATTCGGCAACAACATAACGGGCACCTTCTTCATCACATTGAGCGTACTTGATTAATAATTGAACGATCGATTCAAAATGTGGTTCCAAATGACAGATTTTTTGATGATCGACCGATAAACAGCTAACAATTTCTTTCAAAGCATTTAGAAAGAGATACTGACGTTTTGGGTTGTTCGAAATTTCAGACAGAATAAATGATAGATTACGTTCAAGGTTTCCCATGGAAACACTGCCTAGACAGATTGAAGCCGCGGATTTTACCTCTTCATGTGAGGAGTTGAATGATTGAATCAATGCATCTTGCAATGGTTGTTGCAACTGTTCTAGATCCAATGATTTGCCAATCTCGGCAATGGTTAAAAGCGAATAAAGTTGCACAGACTCGTTTTGAGCGCCAGAACTACCATTTCCGGTTACTAACATTGGATTACGAATCTGTTCAATAAGGTTCGAAACTATCGATGCGGCATATTTATCGTTTAGCAATGAAATGGCAGCTATACATTTAGAAATGGAATAATATGCTTGCTTATGTAGTTGTTGATTTGGCTGCATAATAGGCTGAGTTAAACGGGCAATCAATTCATTATAATCCAAGCCAGGAAATGAACTTTTAACGATAGCACGGAAAAAATCCAACATTGCCATTAATGTTGAACCTTGCATCAACGGAGATCGGATGAGAACCAATGCTTCAGGTAAAATTCGTTGCGGTATAATATCATGGAATGCCTTATGCGACATGATCATTGCTGTCAATGCGGCCAATGCCAATTGAGAGATGTATAGATCAGATTCTGAAATCAATGGTACCATTTGTTTGACTATTTCTTCATTGATATCCTTCGTACAATATTCAATGTAATTTCTGAAAACTTTTTCTAATAGTATCAACGTATGTATCTTGATTGAACGTTTATTTTGTTTTAAAAATTGTGCCAATATTGAAAATGCCTCTGGAAACATTGGATTCAATTTTAGTGGCTTGGCAAAACTGACACTGATACAATTGAAAAAAAGAATATTCTCCGATTAAAGGAATTATGATTACCGGTGATTTCAAGACTTACCTGGTGATTTTTATTAATGCGCGAACGCATGTCAACCTTGTCGTTTCATTTTTAAGCCGTTCAAGAAATAGAGCAAAAGTTCGGAAGAGATATTCATCATTCATATGATCACCAAATGTACAGATAATCTGTGCCATACAATTGATAGCACTTTCTTTCACTTCAAGGTCAACATCGGAGGCTTTAAGTTTATCGTATGTCATCGAATATAATGTATCAAGATAACCGAAAGCTCCGGAATTAGAATCTATGACATTTGAATCAATTGATAATGAAGGACGAATTATTTGCACCAATTCTGTTAGAACGATCAATGCTTCACCAGATATCTTATAGAAATCATCGCTAACAGCTTTCCGAATTTCGGTGATCAATGCATTGAAATAATTTTGAAATACTTGTGCATCATGATTTTTGAACAAAATGTTCAAAAATGCTAAAGCTTCAATTTTCATACTGGAAGATGAATTATTGCTATTCAATGAATAAAGAATACCCGGTATAATATTGTTTAGGTAATTTTTCTTTTCGTCTGCTTCATTAATCGGATCGGCCAACGCATTCGGTAGAATTTGCACCAATTCACTGAGCAATGCAAAACAACATTGTCGGGTTTTGATGCTTTTTTCTTTTAGCTGTCGATCTAGAGAACGGACAATTTTCGGTACCTGATCCTTTAAGATTTGTTTGAATTTTTCATTATTCTCTGAATTCGTAACCAGGGCACGTGTTTGTCGCAATAGGGCAATATAAGTGTTAAAAATATCCACTTTTACATTTTCTTCACGTTCACGAAATTGCATGATAATCGTTGGTGAAATTAGCTGATAGAATTCTTCCAGTAAATCTAATCGATTTAGAATGATCGTTTCCAATGTTTTGGCCGATGCACGTCGAACCTTCCAACTCATATCATCTTCGTCACTATATTCTTCATAATCATCTTCACCATTATATTCATCAACATCATTATCCATTTCCATATCTTCATCATCATTATCATCGTAATTATAATTTGGATCATAAGAAATATATTTTACACAAACAGTTATAATTTTTTGTAGATGTGGATTGATTTCTTGTGGACAACGACGTACAAATATTTCGAATAATAGTAAACAAGCTTCGATTAATTCATCTTCTTGTCGTTGCAAGAATTTTTCATTCAACGCTACAATTGTATCAATGTATGGACTAATACGGGTGCCAGAATGTTTACAGATGGCTGTCAAACAATTGATGTAGATTTTCGCTCGCACATTATCGCATTGGTTTAATTCAACTAAAAGATATTCAATGATTTCTTTATAAATATGATCATTACAGGTGATTGACATGCCGGCCAAACAATTTATTGTTCGTTTACTGATTGAATTACGACCATTATTGAGAAGAGGTAGCAACGAATCTTTCAATGCTGGATATGACATACTTAAAACATGACCAAATCGTATGATTAGATCGGAGAAAATATCGAGTACATCGATTTGTACGGAACAATTGTTGTTCTTTATTTTAAAACAAAGCAATCAATTCATTATTTTCAAGTGAACAAAAAATCAAATACCACTTACCAAACTGTTCAATGCGATAATCAATTTACTTGTTATACGGATACAAATGGTTGACACTAAACTTTTTGAATCAATTGATATTTCAGAAATGACAGTCTTTAAACCGATGCTCGATGTTTCCTTGAGAACTTCGTCTGATGACAAAATATTTTCACATAATGCATCCACTACATTTTCAGCAAGTTGTTCTTTAATTTTATTGACCAATGGTCCTAGGCTGAATGATACATGCACATAAACATTTTTTATTTGAATAAAGAAAATTTTCATTAAACCATACCATTTGACAGCCAAATTCTGTACTTCGGCATTATTATCCTTCAACAGACCTAATAAAGTTTTGACAATTTTTCTTTCAGCATCATCATCTAATTTTATTGAATCGTTTTGTAATTCATTAAGAAGATCATTGGTGGCCATAAAACGAAAATCCTTATCCGCTGAAGACATCTATGCCAAGAAAAAAAACAATTTTCAATAAATCATTCATTATCATTGAATAGGTAAGTTTTACCTTCTGTATAAGAACAGATATCTGATATGAATTGTTTGGGGTGGCCATTTTTGATTTGATCAATATAAAATGTGTCAAAAATAATGACAATTTCAAATTCTTTGAGAATTTTTAAATGTTCGATAATTATGAATTCCAATTAATGAATCAGCAAATCTTATTGAGCGGCATAAAATGTGTGTACGATAATGAACTCAATGAATTTCAATATTGATACTGAAAAAAACACAGATATACAAAATACATAAAAATTGATCTGTTCATAGAGGACAGTATTGTTTGTTTTAAAATTTAAAAAAATTGAATAATAGTCAACGGGAATGTTTTTAAATTCAGATTTTTCAAGATGATTTTATTGATAAAAACAAATTATGGTAAGATTTTAATTGAATGTTCATTTTTCTCTTTGGTCTCAATTCATTTCGCATAGAATTGTGTGAAGATTTTTTGGCACAGTTTCCAATGTTCCTACGGACAATCTGGCAGCTTTTAGACCGAAACGTAGTGAATCTCGATATGTCATCCGATTTAACCATCCATAGATTGTAGCTCCAACAAGACTTGTAAAATAGATGACAGATTTTGATAAAAAAAAATCAGAGCCAAATAGAAAAAAACATCACTTACCAATCACCAGCTCCAGATACATTGACCACATTGGCTACATGTTCTTGCATCATATGCACGGAGTTAATAGCCATCTGGAATTAAATAGAATTCTTTTTAAATCTGATTAAATTTTCCTGGATTCTTATCAAACCTTTGAATGATCATCATAGAGATTTGAATATGGTCCCAATACCATTATACGATCCAATGCATCTTCAGGACCAACATAGATAATGCCATCTTTGTCGACAGTAACAATGATTGAATGTAGACCAGAAATATGTCGAAATAATTCACGACCATATTCGCCGACAATTTCGATAAGTTCGTCACTATTGAATAGTTCGAATAAGATTTTACATTTGACTTTATTATTCATAGAAAATTTCAAACCTTGATAATTTATCTCGGAAAATCTCGGATAATTGTGTATCTTGTCTATGGCCACGGGTTAGAATTTCATAACTAGCTTGTAATTCATTGAAATTTGGTGATAAAAAATTTATGGCATCGAAATTTTCCCAATGAATTTGAAATAATTTATCAATCAGATTTAAATCAGTCGGTTCAAACCAAACTATAAAAAAAAGAATTATTTTTTTTTCCTAAAAATATTAGCTTTCTGTTGTTATCGATAGATGACGACAGTGGGTCCAAGTTGCTTTGGCAACTGAATTTATTCCCTTTTTTTTAAGCATCAAGTTGTTGATTCATTTGAACTCAGTTCGCTTGTCTGAAAACATTCATTCATTGTGGTCAGTCATTTTCAACCATCAACGATGGAAAGAATTCGAGCGGCTAAAAATGTGACTAAAAACATGGATATAACCAACATTCGAAATGTAACCTATGCGGCAATTTTTACATTTCTAACAATGTTTTGCAATACGATTGCCTTTTCAACACCAAATTGGTTAGCGGCCGATGGCCGTCAACCAATAAAACGTTTCAATAAACTTGGTCTTTGGGAAGCTTGTTTTCATCAATTTCGTGATCCATATTATCTATTTGAACGTGAATTTCGTGGATGTAAATGGATATTTGATGAAGATTATGCATTCATGATTGATTTTCTTGAACCAGGTAAGTTTAGGTTTAGTTACCTCCCTTTACATTTCCTTTTCCGGTCAAAAAAAAATTATATAAATCAAATATTGAACCAAGGGCGTTGTGTTTTTTGTTTCATATAAAAATGCTAAAAAATTCATCATACACAACATAGAAAAATTAGAATCCAATTGAAAGATGAATAATGAACAACACAAGGTATTCATATAAACAATTAACATCGAGCGCGAGCAGGTTTGATGTTCTATATGTGTGTGTTTGTTGTTGTTGTTGTTAGTGTTTTCATTCGAAGAATCACTACCTCTCTCTCCACGGCAACGTTCAACCTGCTACTGCTGCATCTGTTATGTTGTGATTATAAGTTGTTTTCCTATTATAAAAATTGTTCATTTTACATTTCGAATTTTGTTTATGTGAAAAATTTTTGTTTGAATTATTATTACACGAGTTATAATGACAATTACAAACGGTTATCGTAGTGATTATGATTATGGTCATGATGATACTGATGATACTATGGATCGTGCCGATGGTATTGGTTGGGGTATTATCCGAAAACGAAAACGAATGTCTGATGCAAGAATTGTTGCCATTGCAGCAACAACGATAACAGCCATTTCCGCATTTATTGCTTTTTTTAGCCAATATTGGCTTGCATCTGAACGACGATTATATGGAGCAAAATTTGTACGCCTTGGTCTTTGGGCTACCTGTTTTCGTAGCTATGTTAGTCCAGAAGATTATGAAATGAGTAAATATTATGCCGGCTGTCGTTGGATTTTTGCTGAAGAATATCAGAATATCAAACATATTCTTATGCCGGGTATTTTTAATCTCACAATTCACCACAATCACACAAACACATCATTAAACACATACGTTTAAAAAAATCATCATTTGTAAATCAAATTCTAATCATATTGTTTTTTGTTTTTCATTCTTAAATTTTTTTAGGATTTTTTATCGCAACACAAGCATTATATACAATTGGATTTGTTTTCTTGCTAATGGCATGCATCTGCGTTTTGGCCATACAATTATGTTTTATAATTGAAAAAGAAATTCTTGCAATGAAACTTTTATCATCTGTCATGTTTCTATCTGGTTTGTAGAATTTTTGTTTATTTGTTTCTAACTGTCATTAATTTTTCCTTTATATATCTCTAGCATTATTCACAACATTAGCCGTCATTATATTTGGTATACGTGGTGATGATCGTGATTGGATGCCTGATCATGAACATAATTTTCTTTCATGGTCATTTGGTTTTGCTGTTGTTGGTGCATTCTTTTCCTGGATGGCATCGGCAATGTTTTGGGCTGAAAGTCGTATTCTTTTTAAAAAAGAATTGAAAAAACGACAAGAAATTTATAATATGGAAGGAAATAAACATGTTCATCATCATCATCATCATCAGCAACAATAACAACAACAACGACAAGATAATCAAGACCAAAAAAAAAACATATGGAATATTTATAAATTCAGTTTTTCAAAAAAAAAATTCTGTAAATACAATCAAACATCTCCAATTATTTTTTAAAATTATTTATAATAACTTTACATTTTCATTGAATGAAATTGTATTCAATTTTCAAATATTACCATTCTCATATACCATAGCGCTTTACATTGCCAGCTTGTCTATTCTTGTTCTTATTGCCACATGAACACGACAACCTGCAACAATATTCATTCATTCATTCATTCGTTTGTACAGGTATCCATGGTTTCATTCAACGATGAATGAATGAATGAATGAGCCAGCTTTTTGGTGTGGCCATTTCATGTTTATTATTCGTGTGTGTGTGTGTGTGTGTGTACATATTTTGTTTTGTATTGATGAGTGTTGTTGTTATATTCGGTTTGAAATATGCCATATGCAGGTCGGTGCTCTTTATTTCTATCTTTCTACATCCACTATTCACTATTGGATTTTTTAAACACACAGTGTTTTTTTTTATAATTTATTTTGGCAATTTGTAAAAAAAAAAAAAATCTCGGTGAATTATACATATGAATTTTAGTTTTGAAACAACGTATAAAAAGAATCACAAAAAATGTCTTCAGTGGATGGTGTATCGGTCGTATCGGAAGGACCGACAATGCGTAAATATCGTTATCGTACATCATTTCTATTGATAACCGCTTCATATACTGGATTAATCGGTTTGATTACAATAATCATCGCATTTTCAAGCCCCTATTGGCTTTCATCTCATAAATATACCTATAGTTCATTTGTACGATTAGGTAAGTTTCATTCTTATTCTTATTCTCTTATCATAAAATTCATTTATTATTTTTTTTTTTTTTTTTTTTTGATAAACAGGATTATGGACATTTTGTTTTGATCATTATAAGTGAGCATATATTATTTGAAAACAATGTTTTATTTGTGAAAAGTTAATTTACATTTTGCACGCTACCATAAAAATATAGACATCCACCATATCAATATGATGAAACATTCACTGGTTGTCGTTGGATTTATGATCCAAAATATCATAATATTCGTGATTGGCTTCAGCCAGGTAATAATCAGATTATCAAGTATGATCATATAATAATGACTTTTTTTGTTGTTTACAAAAAAAACAAAAAAAAACAATATCAGGATGGTTCATATTCGTACAGGTGATGATTACATTCTCAATACTATTCTCTATCGCTGCCTTAATGGTCATAAGCATACCTATTATGCATTTTTTAATACGTTATAATGTTGTCATGATTGGCCTTGGTTCTTTGCTCAAATTGCTATCTGGTTTGTTCATTTTTATTTGTTTATATTAGCTTATTATTATTATTATTTGATCTAATAATGAAAATATTTTTATTCTATATGACCATTACAATAGCTATATTTGGTTTCATAGGCTGGTTAGTGTTTGCTATAAAACATGATGTACGATCATGGCTAATGAATCCACGATTCAATCATCTGGATTGGTCATTCTATTTGGCTATATTATCAACATTAATAAATACATCAGCTGCAATCATGTTGGCAATTGAAATGCGAAGAGCACGACAAAAACGTCAACGTTTTACGAATCTTGTATACAACATGCATCATCCAAGGTTTTTTTGAGATTTTTTGTTTGTTTGTTTGTTTGTTTATTTGCTTTCTTTTCATCGAAAACATATTGCCATTATTGTGTAAATTCTTGAAATTTTCTTTCTCTCGAAAAGAAATCACCACCATTCATGATGATGATGATGATGGAGGCTATTCAATTGTCATTTTCACTTTCTTCTTGCATGAACATTTAATTGTTTTCCATATGAATGAACGTTGAATATTAAATATATGACATGAACACACACACACACAAACACATAGATAAAATTCTTGTTGTAGAAAATGACTTTAGGCGAAAAAAAAGATGCTCATACAGACACAATAAAGGCAAGAATAATGTGTGTTACATATATAACGATTAACGATATTAGAGACTAGACATATCGAATAATAAAAACATTCTGTTATGCTCGAATGAATTTTATTTTTTCTTCTTATTACCTCCCATGAATATGAATTCATGTTGTGTTCATAGAATAATAATGTTAATACGATTCCTAATTCGCAGAAATAAATTATTGACCGTTTTAATATTGGAAAAAAAGAATATTTACTGATTGTCAACAAATCTATTTTATTTATCACATATTTACAACCTTTCATTTAAACTATTTACAATGCAATTCAAATTTATTTGATTTTGATTATTCAAATAATAATTCCATTCTCATTCTGATCATTACATAGATCAATAGGAAGTGGTACAACCAATGGATTTGAAACAATACCGCTAAAAACTCCTCCACAGCCACCATTATCGACAACGGGACCAAGTCCTCATTATCATAGCCGACAACAACATCATCATCATCATCAACAATCTCATCCTCATCATCATCATCATCAACAACAAGGAGCACGATCACCAATCGATTCTATACATTCATCACCATATGCATCGATATCAAGATTTTCACAACAACAACAACAGCAGCAGCAGCAGCCAATGACGCCACAATCACAGACAAGTTCAAGACAGTTTACATCTGTTTAGGTTGGAAACGGTTGTGTTTTGGGAATATATTTGTTTTATGGACTCACAAACATCATCATCATCGTCATCATCATCATCATTATTATTAATGACATTAATCAAGCAAATAATAATAAAAAATAAAAGACAACTTACCCGGAATTTTAGCCTGTCGACAAAGTTGACATACGTAATTCATTGTTTCGGTCGGAATATTTGCATCAATAATTACAATGGATGTCTGTTTTAATTGTGTTTCAAATCTAGATACCTGCCAAAAAATCAAATCAAATGAACAAATGAGCAAAACAGAGAAAAGAAAATTTGATCAAAAAAAAAAAAAAAACAAACAAATCACACTGATCCAAACAAACGGATATTTTCATTTCCAGAGAACAATACAAAAAACAAATATATTTTTCTGGTTCAATTTGATTTTCAAATTAATAATAATGATGATGATGATAAATTCTATGATGATGAAAAACAAAAATGTTTTTAAATTTTTAAAATCGGTATTGCCGCTAGCTATATAATAATACATGCATAAAAATTCATTTAAATGATGAACGATTTGAATTATTAAATAGAGAGATATGGAAATTTGATTTTTGATTTTGATTTTTTGACTTACAAAATTTTTATCAATACATTGATTAGCACGAAAATCTCCAACAACCATACGACATTCACCTTGTTCATCAATGATAACCGTACAAGATGGTGTTGGTAATTGTTTCAATGAACGTATATTCGTTGTTGTATCAGCCATCGTCTTGATAAAATGATAAGGAATGGAAAAAACAACAACAACAACAAATAATGAATGTGATGAAAAAATGAAAAAAAAATTCTTTCGGTTTCTTTCTGTCGATTTCAGTTGTTAATATAGAATTTCGTTTGTTACAAATAAATTTTATTTAAATTGAAAAGAAATTTAATATTATCTCGATCTCGATTCCTGTTTTATTATCGCGTGTGTGTGTGCATGTGACATCTTACAAATAAACAAAATTGAACCTCAATACAAAATTTACCCGATTATTGTTATCATTGATAGCGGTAGCGGCTGAAGAAATGATCATCTGACCTGGTTGATCTTGGCCAACAGCTGTTATAAATAAACATGGTTCCCGTAAACGTTGTATTGATTCGGCAATATTATGTCCAACACCGCCCAATGTTGTCATCATTGATCCATCATATGTTGAACCATTCAACTGGAGATTTTTTGGGGAAAAAAAAATTCAAAATAAAAAAAATCGACAAAAAAAATGCATGTTACTATATAATATTGCTGAAACAATAAAAGTGGATAGTAAAAAGTATTTTTATTACGAACCAAAAATAAAAAAAAAATCAGATACATTAAAATCATTCAAGTTAAATCTATCGATGACAATGTCATTTTATGGAAAATTTTTGCATTCATCATTTATACTCATTAGCATTTTGAATTCCGCCTACATTTTATTTTCAAATAATTCAATTCATTCGTTTTGTTTAAAAAAAAAAAAATGCTAAATTGACAAAATTTGCAAATCTTTAAATTCAAGTAAGAAAAAAAAACTTTTCATACAAAAAAAGTCTTCATTATATTTAGATTCGAAATGAAAAATTTTTTTTTCATTCAAATTCAAAGTCAACTCAAATCATAGTGATCATCATAATCATCATCATCATTGTGCGTTTGGATGTTAATCAGCATTTTGAATCGATTTCATTTTGAATTAACGATTGAATAGAGCAAAAGAAAAGAAAAAGAATTCAATTAGATCCAATTTTTTTCTATAGTTATTGACATCAACAAACTGAATGAATTCATTTGTTTGATGTTTTTTTCGTCGCAATGATGATAAAGTTTATGACTGAATTTATCTAGAGAATATGTGATGAAAAAAAGGAATTCTCTCCAGATATGACAATAGAGTTGAATTCGGTTCTTATTTTTTTTTTTTTTTTTTTGCAAATTCTTGACGAATTGAAAAGGATTTTTTTTCTTCACTATTTTTCTGCTTTATTTGTTCACTCTAAGAATGGTAAAATACATTTTTCCCTGTCTGTATGTGTGTGTGCGTATATGCGGTGTATATATCGAATTCGTAAAACCAATCTTTAAAGAATATGATGATGATGATGATGATGAATAATGACAAAAAAAATACTCAATATATGATGTGATGATGGCGGAAAATGATTTCATCACACTTGAACAAGTTTATTTTTCATTGTATACACGCATACGAATTATCGTTAATGATGAACTCATTCATTCATTTGATTTACTCATTCGTGTTTTTTTTTATTTTTCTTATTTGATTTAATGAACACACACACACACACACACACACACACATCCTATGTTTGTATAAACAAGATGAATGATTGTGATTGAAATGAAGATTTTATTTGAAATTTTCAATCTTAAATGTATTTATATGCAAAAAATCATTTCATTTCATTTCATTTTTTTTCCAATATTTGGTACACACTATAAAAGATGGCCCATATAATGACACATAAGCACAAACAGACATGATCATTTCAATTGACATTTATTATTTTGATTCGATAGACCATAAGAAATGATTTTTCAAACCATATATATATATTTTGTATTAAGTTTAGTGAATGAAAAAAAAAAAATTTGACATGACATTGAAATGACCTCGATTTTGGATTGGTGCTCAAATAATGGAATTCGTTAAGAAAAAAAAAATGAAAATTGAAAAAATTCCATCCTATGGGGGCCAATCAATTCTGTCATACGAATCTAAAATGAAATGAAATGAAATGTTTTTCTTCAATTTTGCCCATTGATGATGATGAAAAGAACTCAATAAATGAATGAATGAATGAATGGAACAAGTAAATTGAGAATAGTAAAGTGAAGAAAAAAAGAAAGAAAGAAAAAAATAATAAATCCATTAATTACCAGGAGATTTTGGTTCAATAGTTTTTGTTTTTCTTCTGATTCTAGGACAAATTGGTGAATTGTGATTATGATTGTGTGCCACACACACACACACACACACAAAGTCTTCCAAACAACAAAGACACATAGATGAAAAAAAGATGGAAGAAAAAACGCAAATATAACCACCATATATAGAATTCATGTGAAAATAAAAAATTAATTGATCCAAACACAACAGAAAAAAACCAGAGAGCAATGAACAAACAAAAAAAATGAATTGGAACTACATCAAAAAAAAAAAAAAAAAATGTGGGTGATTGAAATCACACACATTTGTGGGTAAAGATGAAACCTTCAAACAACGATGACAAAATAAAAATGAACCTTTTTTTCATCATCATAAGCGAAAGAGAACTGAAAAAAAACTTAATCATCATCTACGAGCCATCATAAATTGAGAGGAAATATATTTGCGAATCGGTTTGAAACAAAATAAATATATTATATATTATTATTATTTAGGCCTTGCCATAATCACCATCACCATCATCATCGTTGAATATTAGAGAATGAAAATTTGATAACATTTCAATTTATTACTGCACTGCCATCAAACAACACCGAAAGAAAGCGATGAAATGAGTTTATTATTTGAATGATCGTACCTTCAATAATGAACAATTTGATTGATGTTTATCTATTTTGTTCTGGTCATTTCATTTTGGTCAATGTTGTTCATAGAAGAAATAAAATTTTGTGTATTATGAAAACCTAAATTGTGACCACACACAATAATGCAATGTGTTTCTAATTTGTTTTATTATTATTATTCGAAATTCTTGGGTTCCATTGAATTAAATCGAATCAAAAAAAAAAAAAAAAAAATTCATTTAATTCTTTTTCGAACATGGAAAAAAAACACATACATATAGAAAAACAATGATCAAGGAAAATAGTAATAACCAAACTTGTCAAAGTGATTGATTGATTTGTGATTCTAAAACAAGAAGAAAAAGAAAAGCAACGAACCGGAAGCAAACATTTTGTATTCGACACACACACATTTGATTCACGACTCTCAAAGAAAATGTGTGATGGTGATGATGAAATTGGACAAGGATTATATTTTGATAAAACCATATTTGTAAATGGTAAAGGTCAGATTCGAAATGACAATATGAATGTGGAAAATGATAATAATAATTGGTTTGAATTGAAAAATGTTCATAGTTGTATGGGCGGTTTATCTATTGCTGACATTTTACCATTGATTGGTCATGATCGTGATAATTTGTATCGATTTATGGAAAATGATGATCAAATTATTTTACCACCAAAGACACCGTCAAAATCTCAACAACAAAATATGACAGACATTCATGATGATGATGATGATGATGATGATGGTGATATTATCGATAAATTGAAAAAATCATCACGCCCGCCAGGAGCCTATCTAGTAAGTGATGGTAATCAATTATATGGTGTCACTATTGTTGATGATCAAAATGAAAATTTCATATATGGTCCTGTGACAATGATCATTCCCAATGTAGATGGCCAAAATGTTCTTGTCATTGAACGTGGTAAACTTCGTGACGTTGACACAAATTATGATGAACAACATACCATTAAATTTGGAAATTTTCAATTACAAACTACCAATCAGATCAATTTAGATCAAATCCTACAGAATAATGATCAAAATTATAACGTCAATGTTGGTATTGTCAGTATTAATGGTTTTCTATTGATAGCTCAAAATCATCTAAATTTTACTGAATTTATTTTAATACTTGATGGTGGTTATATTCTAACATATGATATTCAAATTAATTGGATTCGTGCTAATGTCGATCAGCAGACAATAATTATGAATGACAACCAGCGACAAGAACAAAATGTAGATCCGGTTAAATGTACAAAAATTGGTCATCATGAAGTATTCATATGTTTGAAAGGTGCCCTAGTATATGCTAACGATGATAATCATATTAATCATGGTGACAGTAGCACCAGCAACCATAACGATAATCAAAATCGAATGATGATGATGAACTTGATTGGCACAAATAATGCAGTGATCAATTATGATGCATTCAAACATTTCATTTTGAATGGTCAACATCGTGTACATCGTCATCATGAATGAACAATTTGAATTTTGAAATATGCTGAATTGGCAATAATACAAAAAAAAGAAAGTAAGAAAAAAACAATATACAAAATTCCATTGCGGTGAATAAAAAACTATGCTAAGAGAATTCAGGAAAAAAAAACAGAATAAAAGCTGACAACAACACAATATGTTCCACAAATAAATGAATGAAAAAATTGTCCTAATTTTATACATCTTTCTCTTTGGGGTATATGTGAGTAATTCAAATTGACAACAAACAACAAAAACTGTTCAGTTTTCCAACCAAAAAAAAAAAAAAAAAAATTCAATTCGACAATTTCCACCATCCCACCCCCTAAATATGAGAACCAATTGAAGTTGACATATTTACCATTGATGATGATGAGGCAAAACATGTCCAATAGAGAAAAAACTCTTTACATTGACATTCACCAATAGAATTGGATCAATTTTTTTTTCGACCATAGTTTTTTTGCATTACTATCTATTCCAGATCTATTTTATTCTCAACCATTTTGATTCGATTAATGTGTATGTGTGTGTGTGTGTGTGTGATTCTTAATACTACGATATAATCATCATCATCATCATGATCATTTGTGAAGGTTTAATTCAAATACATAAAAAAATGGCCATAAAATTAATATGTACAGATTAATTTCATTCATTCACAAATTGTTTTTGTATTTTGCTGTTGTTTTCACAAATTTGTTTTAGGGTTTCGCCCGAAATAAAAAAAAATAGCGGTGGCAATCCCGAAATGAAATACACCACCCCAATCACTTGATATTTTCTTTTTCTTTTTCACACAAACATACATTATTGCACTAAGTGTGCTGCCATTATATCGATTACAATCAAAAAATTATCTGATCGATTGGAAACAATATTGAAAGAATGTGATTTAATAATAATAATAATAATCATAGCACAATAAATACACACTATATTTCAAACTATCAAATCAACTATAACAAACACACAGTGTCCATTTTTTTTGTTGAAAAATGTAGGACCAGATAAAATGTTTGATATTGATCGATATTTATGTGATACCATCATTGTGTTATGATTCTATAGTTACAAATCAATCATATCATATAATGGTACATTAAATCATCAACACATAGTATGGTGATGACAAAAAAAAAAATAAAAAATGACCTACGTATACGTGAAAAATAGATCAATTTTATGAATTATATAACATCATATCACTAAAAGCTGAATCCATAAGTGTGATGAATGAATGCAGGACATGATAATCATGGAAATGTAAAAGTGATAATGTGTGTGTATGTGTGTGTTTAACTTAACTAAAAACTTAAGAACAATTTTGATGGATACATGTTTGGCTTTTTTTCTGTTTTCTTTTCTTTTAATTCCACTTGGACATATTATACATGAACAATAAATGTGGTGGTGGTGATTCATCAAATCTTTGCTATTCACACACACAAAAAAAGATATATCAAAAATTGAATGACTTGAAATGCTTAGGCTGATGTATTTGTGTATTCCTGTGTGTGTGTGTGTGTGTGTGTGTGTGTGTGTGATAATATATTATGTGGTTCTGCATGGGTGTGCATTTTGAAATTCTTTCCTTACAATCAACATTGTTATTGGCCTACATTCAAAAAAAAAAAAAAAAATGACTGCCCGCTGATATATTTCATTCTTTGAATTGGTAAGATGAATTGTTACTATTGTTATTATTCCATAAAATCAGAATATAAAAAGAATCGAGTATAGATTATACGGAATAATTTTTAGGAAAAAGAAGGGCATTATCTATAAGGGGAAAGATATATGTCATTTTGGATCATTCATCATTTTATTTTCATTCTAACATGTCAAATGACATTGTTTGTTGTTGTTGTGTGTGTGTGTGTTTTGTTCATAATTCAAAACGATAAACAAAACAAAAAATTATTTAAATTATAATCATCATTTTTTAAAATAAAATGAATCACACATGTGTTTGTCACATATATACAAAAAAAAAAATTTCAGGTGTATTGTTGTGACATAAACAAGTTTTTTTCTATTGTTCTGATTTTTTATTTGGTTGCCATGTTTAATTTTTTTTATATTGAAAACCATCAGCTAGAAATTGATCTAAGAACCATATTGTAAATGATGATGATGATGATGATGATGGTAGTTGTCTACCGTTATAGCAAACAGCTGCATTTTGCAGATGTATCGATCCAGGGAATAAAAAAAAATTGAAAATAAAAACGCATAAAAGATATATGCAAGTAATAATCGTCAAAAACAAAAAACCATACCAGAACGACAGAATACAGCTAGCCACACAAACAGCCAGCCATGCAGTTGATAATGACAAAAATAAAACCTTTGAAGATATGGTGAGACGGTGTACAAGTACAACGTATCGTAGAACCACGATAGCGGCAATAGTATATAAAACGAACCAAAAAAAAAAAAAAAAAAAATGAAAGTCTCAAGAATAGAGGCGTGACTTGATTACGTCACTATCGTATAGAATTTATTTTAGTTTATGGCTTGGTTGTTGTATTTGTGTCTGTGTGTTTATTGATGGTGGTTGTTTCGATTTTAATCAATTCATACACAAACACACACACAACGAATTCAATGATGATGATGATGATGATGATATGAAAAAGAATAAGCGGCGTCGTCAATTTTATTGTTACAGTATTTTTTTTTTTTTCGAGGCACTATACCTCATACTTCAAAAATATTCTACACTCATAAACACACACACACACACACAAAACGAAGAGAAATTATGATTATGAAATATAAAAGTCAACAAGCTGGATAGAGTGTCTAGATGGATTCATTCATTCAGTCTTGAATATAGTGTATTTTGTGGATGCATTGAATTTTATACAATCAAAATTAATCTAACCATTGTAATGTTGAAATAAATTTCCAACAAATTCAATTCAGTAAAATAGTTGCCATCGAATAATGAAGCAACATTATTACTGAACAACGACAACAAAGAATCTCCAGAATCACCAAAATCCAACAACAACAAAAAGCAACAACAATTATGCATCGATCAAGTTTCACCACAACAACCAACCACAATCATCAATATATTATGTAATCTAAATAAAAATAATATAATTCCTATGTGTGTGTGTGTGTCCAATTTTGTTGTTGTTGTTGTTGTTGTTCATTCGTCTCTAAACTGGTCGCGTTGTTTTGTCATTTTTTTTGTTCTCATTACAATTGTCTTCTTTAGTTATTTGTGTGTGTGTTCAGATAAAATGAAAAAAATGAAAAGTTCTATGTATATGTTGAGTCTGAATATATTTGTAAAGTCTATTTTTGATTTTTCAAGTGTTTCTCTCTCTCTGTGTGTGTGTGTGTTTGTTTGTTTAGTTGTTGAAATTAGTTGAAATTATTATCATTTTTTTTCTCTCTATCGTTACACATTCATTCATGATTATGGCCTTTCAAAGTGAATGACAATGTTTAAAAAAAAGTGTTGACCATTTATTTTTTGATGATGATCATCATGATCATGATCATGGTGGTTATTGTGTAATTGACATTAAATCAACAACAACAACTACAACTATACTATAGTACAGTGTATAACCAATCAAATTTTACATTGAATGAATGAAAATAAAAATAAAAAAACATTTTTATACAGATTAGCGGTTTGCTAGCAGCTACCAGAATCATGTCAAATATCGTGGTAAAATCATCATCATCATCATCATCATCATTTTTATTATTGTAAAAGTTTTGATATGAGCCTAGTATAAATTTAAAAGTTTACATAGCAATCACACACAACGCCATTATCTTTAACAACAACAACAACGACGACGACAACAGCAAAACCGGAAGTCAACTTAATGCAGATCGTCTGTAAAGATTTTTTTTTCAAACAACAACAACAAAAAGCTTCCACCATTCAACCATCATCATCATCATCATCATCATCGACGTCATCATCATTCTTTTTATTATTATTGAAAGACAACAACAACAATCAAAAAAAAGCAAACAATTCAACGAGTATAGCAATTTGAATCAAATCAATTTCTCAATCAATTATAGATAACATTTTTGTTGAAAGGTAATGGACAAAACAAAAAAAAAACAAAAACAAAAACAAAAAAAAACTAGAACCATTGTTTTTAGTATATTAGCTTTTTGATAGAATTTGAATTAATAAGATGATGATGAACTAAAAGAGTTGTGTGATGTGAATACAATTTCGAAACAAAAAAAAAAAAAACAAAACAAAACCGGCCAATCATATAAACTAAATGAGTTTTTGATGCAAAAAAAATCAAAAACATTTATTATGATCATTTGAAATTCAATTTAGTTTTCGTTTTTTTTATTTATTTATTTATTTTTGTTTGACTGGAAATTTCAATTTAAATTCAAATGACGATTATGATGATGATTAAAACGAAATTCGTTTAAATGGATGAAATGAAATCGATTTCAATTGCTCAATCATGAATAATTTTTTTTTCTTGATTTATCATTCTGATGAGGAATGTAATATGGTTCAGGTGATGAACATTTTGTTTTCCCTGGCCAATATTTCAAATAAATTTTTGCACTTTTGTCGACAAAATTTTTCATTGCATGTGTTTAGATTTTTTTTTTGAATAATTCATTTCTGTTGAGCAAAATTTTATCCAAACCTTGAATAAAATTTGAGTAAAGAAATGATTATGAAACAAAAATTTTTATGATTCAAAAGAATTATATTTTTTTTATCATCAGAAAAAAAGAAGAATAATTTATCAATTTGAATTCTTGTATCGGATGCCAAGCTAATAAAAATCAAGAACCATTTCTATGAAATTGATGATAATGATAATGATAATGAATCAAAAGATGACACACACACAATTCAACTAAATTAATCAAACAAATGAATCAAGAACAACAACAAAAAGCTTTTGGGAAAACCAAAAAAAAAAAAATTTCAAAAGAAAATTTTTGAGCCAATGATGAAATGTTGTTTATTTGTTTGTTATCCGGAAAATAAAACAATTATTAATTAAAAAAATACCACTACAACACACAGATAGTAGTGATTCAATGATGACAAAACAAAAAAAAAAAAAATAAAAAAATAAAACCCCAAATGGGACATCATCCATAAGGTGGCAACCAAACAAAACAAAACAAAACAGAACAGAACAAAACAAAA